TGCTATGTTGCCCAGGCTGGTCTCAAACTCCTAGCCCCAAGTGATCCTGCTGCCTCAGCCTCCCAAAGTGCTGGGATTACAGGTGTGAGCCACCACACCAGCAGATTGTTTTTTTTTTAAGCAACTGAATCTCTTCAATAAAATTCTTGTTTGGAAGCATCAACATGTAAATCGGGTGAAAGGAGAGTTCTAGTGTTTGAAGTCAGGGCAAGGGATAGAGTCCTTGCCTGTTTGCTCCCTTATCTCATGCCAAGATGGCTCTGAGAGGGCTTTTATACTCCCTAGGGCTCATCGGAGTACAATTTGAAAACCATAAAGTGAATGAAATAGAGAAGGAAAGAAAATAGGACCAGTCCATTGAGTGCTTTGAATACCCAGACAGGAAATCTGGTTGTTATTCTGGAGCTGAGGGATAGGAGGGGAGGGAGAGTACTGATAGTACTGAGAGAATTACAGATCAGAACTGCGCTGAGGCTAGTGGCTGCCCATGTGGGAAAAATCAAATCTCTACCACACACTCTATTACAATTTTGAGTGGACGAAAGACATACATCTAAATAATGAAACCATAAAATTACTAGAAGAATATAAATACCATCTACATGCCAATCTTTTCAATCCCTGGCTTTGACCTCTCTCTGAATCTCCAGACTTGTGTCTCCAAATGCCTCCATAACACCTTGCATGGGTGTCTAACCAGCACCGGCTATCACATGGCCAAAACAGACCACCTCCCACTCCTGCTTTTTCCACCACTTTCTAGTCTTTTCTATCCTAGTCAACAGCCTCCCCCATCTTCTTTACAGTTCGATCCCAAAATACAAGAATGGCCCTAGATTCCCGTCATTCTCTATCCTCAACAGGTAATCCACCAGCAGCTTCTATCAATTCTACTTCTAGAACATATTCCAAACCTGTCTATCTCTTTACATCTCTCCCGCTCCCACTGCAGTACAAGCCCCCATTGTCTCTCACTTGGACTACAAATAATCTCCTAATTGATCTCTCAGATTCCACTTTTGCTTCATTATTATCTATTCTTCTCATAGCAGCTGCACAATCTTGTTAAAAGATCTTGTCACTGTTCTGCTTAAAACCCTCCAATGAATCACAGAACTCAGTGTAAAAAAAATAGACACATGATTTGATTAGACACTTGTAAAATGGATGGAAAGTAAGCATGTTAAAGAGCTCAACATCATTAGACATTCAGGAAATGCCAATTAAAACAACAAAACCACGATGGGATCTTGCCACTCCTTTGCTTAAAATTGTCCAGCGGGTATTAGATCTAAATGTAAAAAAAAGGGGGTAGGGTTTGAATAGACACTTCACCAAAGATGATACATGGATGGCAACTAAGCACATGCAAAATGCTCTGCGTTATTAGTCATTAGGGAAATGGCAATTAAAACTACACGGAGATCTCATCATTCCTCGGCTTAACACCAGTCCAAGTTTCCAACCTGTCTCACCAGAACTGTAGTCTTCTAACTGATCTCTCTTCTTCCTCTTTGCTTCATTATGATCCATTCTCCTGATAGTAGCTGCATGGTCTTGTTAAAGGATCTTGTCACTCCTCCGGTTAAAGGCCTTTAATGGATTATCGACCTCAGTATAAGTGTATAGGCAATTCACCACAGGAAGAATGGCCTTTTTCAACAAATGGAGCTGGAACAATTGGACACACATATGCAAAATAAGTAATTAAATAAATGACTTTGAATCATACTTTGTACCATATACCAAACTAACTCAGAATGGAGCATAGACCTTAATGTAAATCCTAAAATGATGAAACATTGTTTCTGAAACAAAACATGGAAGAAAATCTTTGCTACCTTGGGCTGGCTAAAGATTTCTTGGATAGGACACAAAAAGTGTGAGCCATAAAAGAAACAAGTTGATAAATTAGACTTAATCAAAATTAAAAACTTCTCTTCAAAAGACGTCAAAGATTTGTGTTTGTGGTGTAGTGGTTGTCACATTTGCTTAACAAAGATTTGTATTCATATTTGAATGTTCATTAGCAGTTTTATTTGTAACAGCTGCAAACTGAAAACAATGTAAATGTTCATCCATTGGTAAGGAGATAAATTGTGGTACATTCATGCATGGAATACTACTCAGCAATAAAAGGGACAAAGTACAGATACATGCAACAACATGGCTTCATGAGCATGTGGTCGATGCCGTCACACAACGTCCCATATTCAGAAAGCCTCTGTGCTCCGTATAATATTCTGCTTTTGTGTCCTTGAAATTCTTTTTTTTTTTTGAAAAGTAAGTGTAATAATTTTAATCACGAAAGACATACATTTACTTGAATTTACATTTTTTGATAAAGATATATATATTTTTTCCTTGAGATTCTTAATAACTTTTGAACAAGGGACCCCACATTTTTATTTTGCAAATTATGTAGCCATCTTGACTGCGTAATTCCATTGATATGATATTCTAAAAAAGTTAAAATTCTACTGACAGCAAATCAGTGGTTGTTAGGGGAGAGAGGATTGATTGCAAAGAGGCAGGAAGAAACTTTCTGCAGTGATGAAAACATTTTACATCATGTGAATGTCCAGATAGTTAATCACTTGGAGGATCCTGAAGGGTGGCCCACCCAGGGAGGGCATGGAACCTCCATGCCCTTTCTCCCCATACCTCGCCCTGTGCATCCCATCATGTGTACCCTTTGTAGTATCTTTTATAATAAACAGGTAAGCCCAAAGGTCCTGCATTTGGAGGCTTGATGGAGCATATCTTTTTTTTTTTTTTTGCCATGTTGCCCAGGCTGGAGGGCACATAGCTCACAGCAACCTCAATCTCCTGGGCTCAAAAGACCCTCCTGCCTCACCCTCCCTAGCAGCTGGGACTACTGGACCATGTCAGGCTAGTTTTTCCATTTTTTAGAGAGAGGGGGATATTGATCTTGTTCAGGCTGGTCTCAAACTCCTGGCCTTAAGCGATCCTCCCACCTCAGCCTCCCAAAGTGCTAGGATTACAAGCTTGAGCCACCGCACCGCAGTTCTTATATATACTTTTTTTCCTAATTTAATCTGCCTAGATCCATGTCAGATGTTTTTCAAATAAATTTCAACTAATATTTACTCAAGATCAATGCTCTACTTAAAAAACATTCTTAGGTGCACACTCCCAAGCTGTCATTTACCTGGAAGATGAAGTTACAGCAGACTTTTGCTGTGTAAGCTCTGTAACAGCTTTGGCCAAAAGCAATAAAACCAGACTTTATTTGAAAAACAAAAACAAAAAAGGAAAAAAAAGTTTTACACTATGATTGTATTGTTAATTACGTGATGGTACACATTTATTAAATTAATCAAATTTTAGACTTAAAGTTGAGGAATTCTATTGTATTGTATTATTGAGGTATAAATTATACATGTTTTTCTCTAGCTCTTAGTATCTTTTGCCTGGAAATTTATACCCTATACTTCTTTTTTTTTTTTTTTTTTTTGAGACAGAGTCTTACTGTGTTGCCCAGGCTAGAGTGCTGTGGCGTCAGCCTAGCTCACAGCAACCTCAAACTCCTGGGCT